ATGAGGGGCACCCTCTAGTGCACAAGTCTCGGCAGTCCCTTGATTTCTGCAAGCTTGGTGAAGCCCTCAGTGTTTGAGGGGGGAGAGCTCGAAGTGCTTGGATCGAGCCTGGGTCAAGGAAAATGGGCTCGAGTTGGGGGATGGTTGTTCCCCATAACTGTTGTTTTTGGGGGATTTCACAGGGGGGAGAGGTAGGAAACAGAATGGATGAACTGATGAACCGCCCAAACTCCGGCAGGCTGCTCTCATCAATGCCATGCCGGCCTGATGTGGTGAGCTACAATTCCGCCTGGCGCCCGGAGATGATTTTTGCCATGGATGTTTTTTTGCAATGGGAACCCGGGATTGAGACACTCTGGTTACTTGGGGGCTCATTGTAGAGGGAAGCCTTTACTTAGTCTACCAGGTGGATGAATCGAGGGCTACCATTTGTAGGAGTACCTGACAGCAAGTTTAGTTTAACAAGATAGGGACATAAGAGCAGACCGCATCAGCTCTAGATCCAAAGTCTAGCTTCGATCAGCTAGGGAAGGGCAGACAATGACAGATGACGACTCCTATGGGGTCAATCTTCAGCGGGGCCGGAGGGTAGCTCCAACATTTTCAGGTTGCGTGTCACCCCGCCCATCACTCACATATCAAATCCGTCGCTAAGCCACGCTTCCGAGGTACTGGCCTGCGAAAGGGCCTTGAACTGGCGAATCTGCGTTCAGCTGCTGGAGGAGCGCGGCCTCAAAATGGGCGACAGCTGAGCTAGACATTCTACAGACTAGCCCACCATCAACCAACATCAAGGTGCTGGATCTATCTTGCCTAAACTTTGTGCGGCGGGTTTCTGGGACACAGCTCCGGGCGGATGGCAAGCTGGGCTCACCCAGCCCACGAAAAGCCACACGTTCGGCCTTGTCGGGGAACTCAGGATTAAGAGGCTCCTTGATCAACATGGACTTGCCTCATGTCCGTGTTTCCATATGGTTCTTTCCTTTTGGGGGAAGGAGAAAGGACGGTTTCTTTGCCCTAAGTCCAATTCCTAGCACGGAGAAAGCGCTGCCTTGCGGTGGGAAGTCATTCGATTCCCCAGGAGATGCGAACGGCCGGTGTGGGAGCTGACGCCTTCACCTACAACTCGGCCATTGCGGTGCCCTGTCCTCCTGGCTTTTACGACTTGCATGCGTTCACTGTGAGCACTTCTTTATAAAACAAAGAGAGTTGCCTTTTGATGTTTTGGCTGGGTTGCAAAACCTAAATTACGTCAATGGACACTTGTTTTTGGCACCTGGGCTCACGCGAGGCACAGGCGGCCTGAGAAGGCCTTTGCACAGGGCGAAGCCTCGGAATGAACATGAACTGCGAGGAGTACACATTTGCCTTTTTTTGTCAGGCTCAAAAGTGGAACCAAGCTTTTTGCGGATTTTCTGGTAGGTTGGAAGTTGATTTAGAGGCGACTCCACTTTTGGAACCCCAAAACAGCTCAGGTCTTGGACTCCCAGTGGCAGGTGGCGGTGCATTTGCTGCGGGCAGCTTTTCCGCACGAGAGCGACGTGGGGACATCGCTTGGACTCGTGATTTTTCTTCATTGGCCACAGGCCAATGTGTGCGCGCGCGGGTGTGTGTGTGTGTGTGTGTGTGCGCGTGTGTGCGGGCTTGCGCTTGTGCTTGTGCTTCGAGTTGTGCTTGTGCTTGTGCTTGTGTTTGTGCTTGTGCTTGTGCTTGTGCTTGTGTTTGTGTGTGTGTGTGTGCTTTGTGTGCTTTGTGTGCTTTGTGTGCTTTGTGTGCTTTGTGTGCTTTGTGTGCTTTGTGTGCTTTGTGTGCTTTGTGTGCTTTGTGTGCTTTGTGTGCTTTGTGTGCTTTGTGTGCTTTGTGTGCTTTGTGTGCTTTGTGTGCTTTGTGTGCTTTGTTTGTTTGTGTTTGTGTGCTTTGTGTGGTGCTTGCGTGTTTGTAGTTGTGTAGTATTGTGTGTGTTTGTTTGTTTGTTTGGTCGTTTGCGTTCTTGATTGCTTTGCTGCTGGCTGGCTTGCTGGCTGGCTTGCTTGCTTGCTTGCCTGTTTGTTTTGTTTCGGTTGGGTTGGTTGGTTGGTTGCTTGGTTGGTTGGTTGTATTTTTGTTTCAGAGTATTCTTTTCATAGTTGTTCAAAGGGAGGCCGAATGCATCATTGTTTGGGGTCCCCTGTTTTGCCTGTTTTGCCACATAGGCTTTCTCAGGGTTCGTAGTCCATGGTCAACTTTAGTCTGCCTTTTTGTGTACCTTTCAATTGTGAGCGTGAACTCAACTCATGCTAAGACGACGAAGGCGCTTCTGGTGCTTGTCGCTAACCTACCAAGCGTTGGTTGGGAACTCGCAGTTCCCACATCTCAAAGCGGAAAGCGGTAGCGGTGTGGGGGCGGGTGTTTGTACCTCCCTCCCTTCCACTTTTGAGGACAGTACGTGCAGGACCATGCAGTGCAGGCTTCTTTTGTTGTTTTCACACCCCTTCTCAAAAGGGGTGTGTGGGTAGCCATTGAACCCCTGCGCACAATGACGATTGGATTGAGCTTCTTGACAAGAGAGCGTCGCTTCAGGATGGAGTTCTCACTTTCCAAGTCTCCTCCATGCCTTAGCCTTCAGTTCTCGAAGGCCATTGTTGTCGAACATGTTTCACTTCTCAACAGAGTCTTTCCTGCATGTTTTTGGCGCAGCTCATTTGCTCTGTGCATGAAGAGCTCTTGGCCTTTTTAGTCTGGAAACAGTAATCCTCCCAGGAAGGAAGACTAGCATAGGACACCAGCAAGCAGGGTCGCCCAAAGGATACATCCCACGACCTCCTGTTTTGCCAGGCAATCCTAATGAGCTGGCCCAAATGCATAGGGAACGTGAGCGTGGATCCAAGGAAATGGCATCCTCTCAGCTGCAGCCAGATCTGGTCACCTATGGCGCCGTGGTCTCTGCACCTCGCGGGAAATTCTCGGCTTTGGGCCAAGGGAGTTCCACCGCCGGGAAAGGGGGGGGTAGCTTGCAGCATATACTCAAGCCATCTCAAGTCCTAGGTTCCTGGACCGTACACCTGGGAAAGGTCAGGGGGGTTCAAAAAGAGGGACATTGTTTGGCCAAGCCTGAAAGAAGAATGCATGCATAAGTTTAATTTGATGGTTATATACCCCTGGCCCAATTCATGCCTTCTTGGGTCGTTTTGGGGAGGTGGCGTGGGGTCTCCATACGGGCCAGAAGGAAAGAAGGTCAAAGGTAATGGAAGGAGTGGCGTCATTAGGTTTTCCCCCTGTTTAGTTGCTCCCGCGACTTTGGTCAGACCTCTATGGCACCAGTTTGAAAGGATGACCGCGCACAAAGGGTCCGTAATTTGGGAAACACCCATCTGTTGAGATCCTGCGATCATTCAGCGCAGGGCCTTCGCCGTTGCCTTTCTGGCAAGGGCAGTTGCAAATATTGGTCACATGTTTTGCTCTTCTTTCCTCCACGTTGCAAGCCTTGGAGGGTGTTAGTGGCAGTTCATCTAAACTAACATGCGCTGTTACCCCCGCAGCAAACTGCAGTTTATCACGGAGCCCGATCAAGACAGCTACATTTGAACACAAGCCACCTTGGGGATGGGGTCCATGAAACGGCTTCTATTTTGGATCTGCTGGCACAGATCCAAAGGTGCGGTCTCACACAGTCAGCCCGAGGTTTGTCAGAGGGAGCGAGCTGATGGACAGGCCAGTCGATCCGCCCTGCAGTGGGTCCAAGTACCCACGCGAAATTGCAGCGCCTCATGGCCATTTGCAGAAAGCTTTGCTGTTTGGAAAGTGCACAACAGGATGATGCAAGATCCCCTCATGAGTAATGTATCGTAGAGGGTTCACCGCGTAAAGTGGACACTAAGAGTCTATTTTGCAACCACCTGCTCTGAGGTGTTGTTGTTTTCGGGTTTGGTACTGCAAAAGTAGTTATAGGTGTTTATGACCTGAAAGAACGCACCCTTTTCCATGCATGTCCCTTCGTGGGTACAAGGGAATGCGTGCAAAGTGACCTGCGTCCCTGGCTCCCTTCAAGAGACGCGTACACCAGGGTGAAAGTTGATGGCATTCCGTTTATCTCGATATGGGGATGACTAAACCATGAGTCGATTGTGCCCAACTGAATGTTGCCTATTAATTGCTGAGATGAGAAATGCCCATTGCAACCATGTAGATGTTTACTAAGGGGATAGCATGAGGAAGTGTTGTGCAACCTGTCAGCCCAACGATAACAGTAATTCCTCTTAGCTGAGCACTCGAGACCGAAACATCGCATACTTACCTCGTAAATGCGACATCCACGAAAACGACGGCTTATCAATATCCTACGTCGCAGGTTGTTTTTGAAGGAGTCGCCAGGAAATAAGACAGGGGATGGATATGTGGGTGTGGGTCAAATTGGGACCACAGGTTTTAGTCCTTGGTTCCATTTAGCAGGGTTTCATTTTGGGTACCCATTTTTGACCCACAGCCATGTGATTGTTCTTTCAGGCGGTGCGGCTGCTGCACGAGGCACAGCAGCTGGTGAGCGGCGACTGGCCGTGGAGAGAAAAGAAGTCCTCGCGCAGTGGGTTAGGGTCCCCAAAAGGATACGGTGGGTTGTCCACTTTTGGAGGGTAGTGTTGACTCCGCAGTAGTAACAGTAGTCAAAGCGTCCTAGGAACAGGGGGGTGTCCCCTCCAAAAGTGACGACCCCCCACCAAAAGGGGACAGGAGTGTGTCCCTATCCGGGCGGTGGCATGCTTTCTTTTCATGCTCCATTCAGTGGCCAAAACATAGCCCCGTGTTGTTGAGTAGTGGAGGTCCCAGCCAACAGCTCGTGTTATTTTGTGCAACCGCTTTTTCTAAACCGCCAGTGTCTATGTAAGGACAGTCATAGTTTTCAGATGTGACACCCATTCTGAGAAGATAAAGAGGCGCTTCTTTGTTGAGGAAGCTGCTCAGCAGACATCCATCTTGAGCCCACCTTGGTACAGCTTTGGGAAACCCAACGCATTTTGATTGCCCAGGCGCCCACACACCCACGCACCGCACCATGCTGAACATCTCATCGGTACGGGACCGAGGGGCTCGAAGCAGAACCAAACGACCTTCGGGTTCAGGAGGGACGGTCGTGTTTTTTTTAGGGGAAGTTGGACCCAGGGTTCCCCCGCGTAAATGAACCCATAGCCATTTGGCCATTTGGCCATGGGTCAAAACCACTACCATCGGTCAAAGCCACTGGTACCATTTTGGGGTAGGTGCACCACCCATTTTAGTCTATTTTAGTGGGGATTGGGATGTTCACCGGGGGTACGAGATTTTGACCCATAGCCATTTGGGATGGGGAATTTGTGTCCGACACGGAAATCGAGGGTGCCTTGAGGTCGGGCGAGCTGGTCGATCCCCATGGAGCCCCTGAAAGAGGGCCTGACCTCGTATGCGATGTTTGCTCTATTTGCGGTGTGTTTTGTTTCGCTGTCTTGATTAAACGGGTACGGTCGTATAAGTATCGCTTATTTGCATTTTCAGCAAGTAAACTTGAGTGTAGGCTCAGAGATAGGTTATGGGCCTGGCTTGTTTGTTCGGATGCGGGAACAGCTCTGATGTTTTGCTCAGATGGATGCAGACCATCGGGAGGTGCCCAAATATCAATATTCGCAAGGTAAGTTCTTGTAGCTGTAAAAGGTCTGCAAAGACGATCCCTCGCGCCGTTTGGCGCGCTCTGCTGATTTGGGTGCGTTGTTCTGGCAGCTGATTTGGCCTTGGGCCCCTCACAGTCCATGTTTGCAGACAATGAATGCTGACTGTGACTCAGAGGGGCGCTCTGTTTGTCACACCCCTCTGGAGAATCACCCTACATGCCTACTTTCAGACAAGGTTTGTCATGTTGGAGGGGTTGTTTGATTCAAAAAGTCAGGTCATAGCAACAAGTTTCGCACGAAGCCGTTTGGCACGTGTCACCCCTTCCAGGATCTCGCAAAGCTGGAGTCTGCTGAGAGCCGCTTGAGATGTTCCCCAATAGTTGCAATCAAGGCAAGCACGATTCCAGGGTTTTGCGTGTTTCCGACCTGCAATATTTAGGGAAGAATTTGTGCAGCCATCGATTTGAGCAAATCGAGGCGCGGCTTCAGCACGTGCAGGGCATCGCTTTCGGCTTCCTCGAGGACTGCGGTTTTGGGATGGGTTTGTCTCTATGGGGAGCCTCTGAAATGGTTGGGGCTCCCTTTTGTTTCGCCCTCCACAAAAAAGTCACCCAAAGGGCTGGTATGTAAAGCGCCTGTATTTATAAATGCATACGTGCACAGCTCGGCAGGTATCTTTTTCCACGGAGCTGTGAAGTCTTTCCAGCTGCACAAGTTATCGCGAGTTTACCTTGGGCAAAATGAGCTCCGCTTCCAGTGGATCCCTAGATTCCAGCTTGCGAGTAGCAATTTGTACAGATCCAGTGCTAGGTCATGGAGAGAGATTGTGGAGGCTTAGAGAAGCCAGGCGTTTGTTTGTCCAATCACTTGAGCCTTTTCCAAGTGCCTCATCGGAATTGCGGACGGTCGAGGCAGACGTCGACAAGTGTGCAATCGAGTAACACGCAGTACTGATTCCATGCCCTTCAGAGGTCTAGATTGGCATGCTTCAACCCAACAAACGCGTCAGTTGTATAGGGATATCATTTGGGGGGACCATTTCTTGGGAATCCTTGAAAGAGTAAGCTTCCGTTTGTTCAAGAGCTGAGGGATGCTCTGGCAGGAGACGCAGAGTCTCGGCGTAGCTGTGGAGGCACGGTCATACCGCTTTGAACAGGGTTGCTTGCCATGGGTTTGCCGATTGACGAGAAACATGACTTTCAAATGGCTTCATGCAACTGCCTTGAATCTTCAACCAGCATCAAACAACCAGCGGTGACTGGTATACCACAGTATAGCAATTGGGTTCAGGGTCTATATTGTTTTGTGAGAGGCCCGGGTTTCAGTGAAAACAGTTCGTCAAAGACATGTTCGCAAAGACAGGCCAGGCCTTTCTTTGGGGTAGTGGCATGCGCCAGAGAGAGAGAGGGAGAGGCTAGTGGTTTGACCATGGCTTGACCCAGTCGCTTGATTCAGGCGGTGCTGCTATGCCAGCTCTGCGCGGTGTTTCTGGACGGCCACCGCATGGTGGACTCCAACAAGCGCCACGCCTACCAAAGAAACTGACGGTTGACCGTTTGGGTGTCCTCCTACAAACAGACGCACTCCGCGAGGGTACCCTCCTCCACTAATTAACATGGAACGCACCTGAGGATCCCTGTAAAAGGGAAATAGTCTTCCAGGACCCGCAGTCAGGTTCCATGTTAGTGGATGGGAGGGTAGCTGAAAGATCATTTTCTTAAAGGAACTCCCTTCTAGGTGCTATGCTAGTTAGAACGAATCTGAAAATCGGTTGTTTTGTGGTTTGCCCAGAATTGGGCCAAGGTAAGGAACTGGTTGCAGATTGCAGATAGTTTGCAGGTGTGTGGCCTTGATTGTGGCCCTTGCCAATGATGGGAAAGACGGAGTCAACGAATTACCCACCCAACAATCCACTGGAAATTGGCCTTGCTCCAACAGACGTGAAAATGGACAGGAGTTCTTTGTAACATGCTGGTAGTCTTCCAAACCATCAATGTTGGTCGACCTGAATTCTCTCAATCCATTCACAGTGCTCTCTGAACTGCATCACAAAGCTGAATTGCAGTGTATCCCATGTACGTGTGTGTGTGTTGTGTGTGTGCGCGCGCGTGCCCATTGTGTGGTTCCCCCAATTTTGAGATACCCATGTTTTGCCGGGCATCTGAAGCGACAGACGGCCCGATGACGGCCCAAGGCTTGCGCTCGCAGCGAGAACCCTTTGTGTGATCATTCTCGTCTGCCCGCACCTGAGTTGCGGAATCCAGAGGTGTCTGGAAATTGGGGACCCAGAAGACCCCTTGAAATTGGGGACCCAGAAGACCCCTTGAAATTGGGGACCCAGAGACCCCTTGAAATTGGTGTGTTGGTGTGGAAAGTTCCATCCTTTTTCCCCTGCGGATGTGCCTCTTGTAGTGCTGCTGCCATCAGGCTCTTCAAGAAGCAGGAAATCTCAACTTGCAGGGAGGGGACTCCCCTTGTCATTGAATTGTACCTTTGTAGCGGTGTACAGCGTTTGGTGCACTACAGGGCACTGCAAAGTCGCCTCGGCGTTGTAGGCGTCATACGCCTTATGAAGACCAAGCAATTCGACATAATAAGCTCTTAAAGTTTCAGGCGGCCTTCAGGGCTGATTTGCAGAGTTGCAGGGCCCCTGGCAATAGAATTCGTACTGGCCCAAAGCGAATCGACTTGGAGTGCCTTTTCGGGTTGTCCACGTTGGGTCCTATTTTAACCCAAGATTCCCAACAATGAATTGGTTTTGTGTTCCAGTTGAAGCTGTTTGTTGGCATGTGTCTTAATCATTTGGTAATTAACGGCTCAAAAGAACAAACTGTTACCAGCCGGATCCTCAACTCAGGTCAGTATTACCTCCAATATGGTCAGCGCCCTCTAAATCCACCTTTGTTTCGTGGGTTCTCCACTAAAAGCATGGTTGACCTCAAAAAAGGGGGCTTGCTTTTTCAAAAGCTTTGGGGCCAAGCCCAGTTAGGCTCTGAAGTGGTTCGGAGTGGGCCAGGCCGGCGCAGCCTCCTGGAGCAGATGCTGCGAATAGGCCCAATGCGTGCACCTTCCAAAGTTTCTGGACTTGCTTTTCGGGAGGGCCAGTTTGACTGTCACGCAAGCAGTTCAGACATGTTTTGGCCCACAAGTTGGTGATTGGGACGGCCGCCAATCAAACTAGATGCTCGGGCATCTCGCATTGAGATTTCAATATTCCTTTTGAGGCAAAAAAGATGAGGTATGAACCAGGTGCGGAAAGCACCTCCTCCTTTTGTGCGGCTTCGGGAATCCCGATGCCTTGCCAGGGGACCCTGAGCTGCAGCTCGGAGCTCGGACGGGAGGCGCTGTTCTGCTTAGACCCCTTTTAAGGTCCCAAGTGGATAATTTTGGGGCTTCGGGGCCAAGGAAGTTTTGCCGAGAACCTTTTATTGTCAGCTTCCATGATTGGAGGAAAAAGACTGCAACAAATGGGAACAAAGGAATACGGCAACGCTTGCCCCAGCATTCGAACAAAGGAAAGAAAGGTCGTTCCACGGTGGGTTGACAAAGATGCCCATCATGGACAATTGGGAGCGTGGTTGCCTCGCGATAGAATATCAAGTGCTTCCGATCTCCTCTTGACCCCCTTGTTCACAAGAAGTTCCTCTGAGCGAGTGCTGGAGGACTTGTGCACTGGTTGGGGGTCCGAGTAGTTCACCAAGAGGGTCAAAGGAACCTCGTGCCAAGAACCGAAAGAGGGAAGCCAAAAAGGTCGGCCTTTCGAATCGCCTTCAGGTACTGTGTCGAAAGAGGGGACCCTACTGGAGGTATTCCTTTTGGCGTCCCCTAACCAAGCTGAAAAAGCCACCCTCCAAAAACCGCACACGCGCACACAGCACATTTGGGAGCCAAGGCCTTCTGCGCTCAGGCCTGGCGCGCAGATCAAGTGGCGGAAGCCAGAAAGGCATCCACTATAGCATCAGGTTGGTGGTTTGAATTGGTGGTTTGGGATGGTTCCGGGTGTTGAAACCCAGCTCCTTTCAAACCCAAACCAAGCTACCATCGGGTAAGGTGATTGCAAGCCTCCATCACGGGCATCTCGCCAAAGCGGTTGAAACCCTGATCCACCTGTGTGGCTCATAATAGGTTGTGGTCCTTTGTCGCGAAACGAAAGCACAACTATAATCCATCCACAGTTCTAAGAAAGCAGATGCAGCGGCCCCAACTGCCGGCGACGGCGCTAAAGTTTAGCCCGGAAACCAAAGTCTTTTTTCATGAGTCGAAAGAGGTTCTCATATTGCCGTCTTTGGAAAATCCAGCAATACAAAGGTTTCCAACTGAATTGGTGCAATGCGTGGCTAGGACATAGGATTACCCCGTATACACTCCATGAAGGTACATATTCCATTTCCCCCACCGCAGGTAGTGGTTCGGGGGTGGCGCACATCTTCCTAGAGCAACAGGAGAAGGACCTGTTGCCCTCTCAAGCCTCGCTCGGCCCCCGAAGCAACCAGAAGCCAAGCAGCGGATTGAGTTTGGGTGAAGTCTCGGCAGTTGGCCCAGGAGTCACGTGATGTAACGTGCTAAATGTGTTTTTTGTTTGTTTGGTGTTTGAATTCCCTCATTCTTAGATGGACTATACTATACGTTTTGTTCCAGACCCTTCGGCTTTACCTGACCACCTTCCAGCGTGGTTTGCTCGTGTTCTCGACTCAGGGTCATGGCCCCAAAAGGCTTCGCCGACCTTTCGTTCCTCCTGATGGGCCTGAGCAGCGCCCACAACCCCCATCCCGTTGGTCATTTTAGTAGGCGGTTCTACTACAGGGTCTTGAAGGTGGTTATATTATACAGACTGTTTGGTATGTTCTCTTTTGAGTACACTTGCGCGGTGCTTGCTGAGGAGTTGTTTGCAGCACAGCGCTCAAGGGTTCTTGCTAAGAATCCCATCTTCAGGTTGCAATTGGCCATTCGTGTTGCAACACTGCCAGGCACATCGAGAAGTTCCTGAACAGCATCATCCCGATGCTTTGTCAGGCTGGGAATGAGCAGCATGATTGGGCGGCAGCAGATATTTACACTCCCTCCACCGGGCGCATGGAAGCTGACAAGGGGTTTTGGAAGACAAGTATCCTTTTAGCCTCCAAAACCCACTTCCTCCACCGAAAACATGTCATGCAACCCAACATCAATCATTTGCTGAGGATTCTGCCTTTGAATGACCTCATTTTTATACTTCCATATGGGTCTGTGTTTTTTTACCGTGTCAGTTCTTTAGTCTTCGTGGGAGGTGGGGCTTGGGCGAGCCATACCCCCGAATCATACCCCGAACCATACCCCCGAGCCATACCCCGAGTCATACCCCTTAAAAAACACAAAAAAAGAACTTGCAAGAACTATGGCATTTGCATGTGATCCATTGATAGCTGGAAGCTATAGGGGGTTTAACTTCAAGTGAAGAAGGGGGTCTTGTCAAGAAACAGTGGTAGAGAGCTTGCCATGTGGACCGATGCCAGGGGGTAGGGACTCCGAGGTAATACCTGGTTCACTTGTGGTTCCTGGATCTATTCCTGAGTCTGCGATGCTTGCATGGTTGGGCGCTGATGTCATGGGGCCAAGTACAGTTGACATGTCCACTCACACACTCACTGGTTACTCGTAGGGGGCCATAAGTGGCACTCGGTTACCCACCTTGGTCTCGGCTTGCTATTTTCAAACGAAAGTGCCAATGGATGGAGTTATAGAGCAATCCTGCGGATGTCCTGGTACTAGAGTTGTCTGTAGCATCCGTGGTGCTGTGGTGGGGGGGTGCAGCTTGACGTAAGACGCTGGGACTGTGGCGGGGGGTGCCGCTGCTGAGCTTGAAACTTGGAGCTTGCTTCCTGAAGTCTGTCCGACGCGGTGGAAACAGCTGTCTGTCCTGGGCCACTGTCGCAGTGAAACACAAGTTGTCTTTGTGCTCCTGGGGTACTCTTGGTGTTTTTCCGGTCGAAAAATATGTTCCCCGATTCATACCCCCGATTCATACCCGATTCATACCCCGATTCATACCATTTGCAGCCAAGAGCCTCTTGCGCTCTGGGCAGTACTAGCGAAGCTATGCCGCCCAAATCCTCAGAAGACACAAAACTCAAAGAGATGCCGTTTGAGGATGTCACGCTGTCTTGCCCTTACGCTGGTTCGTGGCCCTTAAGCAATGCTTGCTTGGGTCTGTGAGCGCGCGGGTCGCTTGAACTCCAAGTGGAGGTGGCCATGACGTTCGCCTCAGGCAGTGGCTCTGCTAGCGCAGCAGCTTCGCTAACCCACTCACGCAGAGTGGCAGCTGTCTAGTTCAGGCTACTCACAAGCGCCCCAGGCTGGCTTGTAGCAACTAAGCGGTCGAAATCTCACGGCTATCCAGTTGCCAGCGCACGGGAGCTTTGCGGTGTCCAAAGCCACAAAGCAAGAGTTCAGAGGCGCGCGAGCCATACCCCGAATCATACCCCCGAGCCATACCCCGAACCATACCTGCGATTCATACCCCTTATACCAACCTCCCGGCACGGCCACGTCAAAAAAACACATACCCA